CAATAATCCTCAATCCACCAATCAACCGTTCTTCAAGCCGACGCCGGAGTGGCCATGTAAAAAATTTCCATCTTTTAATTTTTGTTTAGAATGCCTTTTCTATAGATCAATTGTCGAATTGAACTTAATTAAAATAGTCTTCACACGTTTCTGTTTAATTTTTCTCATAAAGGCTTACTAAATTCAACCAATAAGCAGAAGATGAATCCCAGAATCGATGGAATGAAGGCAAGAAATGAAATTTCTTCATAATCACGATTGTGTTATAATTTAATCATTATTATAATAATTCCATACAGAGCAGATGTGTCTCTTTCTATATTAAAATTTTAATCGAGCAATACCAAAGTTAATGATAATGAGAAAAAGGAGGCATATAACACTAAAATAAATATTAAGAATTAATAGCAAACAAAATCCATTACAACATATAAATTATGTCCTAAACATAACAAGATATTAAACATAATTAAAATTATGAGTGCTATTCAATCCTCGTAAAAACATGTCTTTCACATAATAGAGGAGGCAGTAATCAGGACAATACATAAGAAAACGAAATTGGAGAAAACAGAAGATGAGGCTGCACTTGATAATGGTGATGGTGCAGGAGAATCTTGGTGCACCCTAATCACCTCAACCAACAATCTTTGCCCATTCTTGCAATGCTCAGGATCTCCACTTACAAAGTACATAGGACCAGACTTTTCAATATTAATAATGGTGTTCCCAGTGTTGTACACTGATATAGGATGGCTTGCATTGCAGTGATAGTACCCCCATTTATCCACCACAACAACTGAATCATTCTTGTACTCAAAACCTGAACACATAAATCATAGCCATGAAGCCGAAAGTCCCCGGAAATGCAAACATCGTACTTGTTAAGTAACATCATAGAAGGTAATAGACAATATTTTAACTTCTCGAACACTATATATGGTCAAGTCTCGAGTCTCGTATACCAAACATGTTTCTGTACATATTTGATTTTAACTTCTTGAATACTGTATATGGTCAAGTCTCGAATAACGATCATTTTAATGTTCATGCATTAGGGCATAACAAAATTCAAGAATTTGATGATTACATTTTCCACTTGAAAATCACTCCAATAAGATAGAAAGAAATGTTAGGATAAATATACTCACGGAGTGAATCACCAATCCGAAATCTCCTTGTAGCAGCCCAATGGGAATACATTTCAGTTTCATTAGCACCCGGCTGTCGCCACCCAGCGCCGCCACCTACTGCGAGTTCCTCGGCGGCTGTGACCGGAGCAAAAGTTGTGATGGCCAATATATTCAGTGTAACAAAATAGAAACCTAAAAAAGATCCCATGGTTTTGCAATTCATTTTTTGTGAATTTTATGCAGCGAGCGTCTTATAGGAATCGGAATCCTCTGTAGAAATAATTAGAATTTGTAACTGTTAACAAGATAAAGTAAGTGATTATATAGAGAAACTGGGATGAAGAGGGAGTTTCAAATTTTGGAGCATAACCGGTAATAGACGTGGAAGGTGTGGCAGTTGGTGGAAGTTAAGGTTTGACTTGGTTTATTTAAGTTTTTATTTTGAAATTGGGCCTGGAGAGGTTATTTTTTGAAAAGCCCAGATCAAAATTGCTGCCAATAGTGGGCCTAAACCATCATATGGGCCGTTGGTTATCTCCACTTGACGAATTAGTTGCACGCAGCACACTTCTGAACTATCTATAATATGATTGTTAATATGATTCTTATTTTAATTCCAGAATTTAAGTTCATCATTCTGTTGACATACAAAAAGTGTAACCCAAATCGAATAGTCCAAGGGATGAAACCCAATTAAGAAGTCCAGGATGAAAGTCCAAATAGGACCATTAATGAATGCAGTGGAGGCCCACGAATAGGGTACCCTTATCGCTCAAACTTGCAAGACGCCCAAGATCTGAGCGTCTTAAAATCGCCCAGAGCGAACGAGCCTATTCTCTCCCAAACCTTCGAAATCGCCCAGGATCTTAACAAATATGAGGTAATATGGTATTCAGAGCACAGTTATTGAAGCGGTTATTGAGCAACCTTACCACACCCCACGATCTAAGAATCACAGTTGTAGGTGGTTGAACGACGAGAATAATGGCAACAGTTAGAGAAGGTAGTTCCACGACAAGTCAGTCATCATGAAGAAAATGTGTAGTTATAAAGTAATCAAGCAGTTTCCAAACGGTTTGTCACAAAAGAATTATCAAGGAAGTATAAAAGGAATAAAAGAAATAAAGAAAAGGACCCCAAATCAAACACTCTCAAACAGAAAATATGTAATTTTAATTTCTTAGTTTAAATTTAAACACTTCTTTTAGTACTCGTGTGCTTGCGCTCCTTGAAGGCATTCTGTTTATTTCCAATTGTAAATCTTCACCAATAAAACACTTCTTTTTGAGACTTTGTCTCAAGAGATCTGTTCTTTACACAATCGTCTGAATTTTTTTTAATTGTTAGCGACAACCCGCGCGAAACACATTCTTATAAGAAATTTAAGTTCTTAAATCAGGAGTTAAGAAAGGCAAATTAAATTCTGAGATAAACTTGTGGATACAGAGGAAAGAGACAGCATAAAAAACTCTGTTAATGGAGTTTTCGATTTCCTCAGTCAATACACATACTAAACTAGAGGCACCCATACCTGTCTTTTTATAGTTCTAGTACATTAAAGGTACATGTGTCACTAGAAAGTTATTCTAAGAACAGGATATTGAAATAAGATTCTAAAATTATTTTTGTATAATCTGATAGGAGTCGTTCAAAAATTTATTCCTCATCTGGTCTGTGAGTAAAATATGAGATAAATTTATAATGTTTACGTGATTCCTTGTGCGAAGTTTTGTGAAATGGAATTATGTGAATAAGTTCGTTCAAAAATTTATTCCTCATCTAGTCTGCGACTAAAATATGAGATAAATTTATAATGTTTACGTGATTGCTTGTGCGAAGTTATGTGAAATTGAATTATGTGAATAAGTTGTTGCTATGCAACTATCCATCTCATATATAATTGGTACAATTCAGAATTATTTATAAGCATAGCATAGACATGATACATTCCAATATTAATTGGTATGCATATGGTCAGTAAATCATAAATTGTACACCAACATGGATCATACGAGTGGTCCAATTATTGAATGAGTGTTCGATCCTTGTGTAAAGTATTTGGTACTGGGATGTCTTAATGGTGATTAATTGTGCAAATGATCAACATTTCTAGACAAATATCATACATTGCTAGTTATGGATTTATTGTGTCAAATAAGGCACATGTACTTGAAAGAGTTTTAGTCATACTTATGCCTGATTTAAAGCGGACTCGGGTGTATAGATTTTTAGGTTTATACGGGTCCAAAAAGATTAAGATAGATATATTTAAGAAAAGAGCATCATAGCATACATCAAGTGCACACTAACACCATATTTTACTCATTGAGTTATTATACTCATTCCCCCTTTTCCTACCACTTTTAGGTAACAATGACACGTAATAACATAGCGTAGAGAAGATAGTTGGACCATTTCCCACGATGATGAAGAGTTCTATTGGACATCACTTCTCAACATATGGTTATATTATCCGAAGGAGATGAACGCATGTGTACAATTATTTATTGTTACTATTATGAACCGTTATAGTACTATGATTAACAATATGATAGCAATGAAATTCTTATCACTTAGTACCAAAAAATGGAAGCCACTTTTTTTGGAGACTTAATTTTGATAATGAGTAAAGGTTATGAACCTTCATGCAGTTAAATTGTGATAAAGTTATAAATTATAGTATGTGTGAAATATCTAACAGTGCTTACGGTTACCTCACAATATTCACCAAGTCGTTATGGTTCCAATGCTCGCTCAAGCAAGAATACGAAATGAATAGCATTTGGAGTGAATTCTCAGGTCCAGTCCTAGATGATATGGGAGTTTGATTGTGGCTCTCCTACCAACTATAGCTTTCGTAAACATTAATTGCAAGTCCCTATATCAGTTGGTATCAAAATTGGACATCCGTATTCCATTCTCCAAGGAACGTAAGAGAGTTGACCATCCCTAAACGAGTAGTGCCTGGGCTGAATTCTTGGACCTGATTAGGGTGATACATGGCTTGATTGCACCTCTCCTATCAATTATTGCTTTTGAAAAAAGTAGTTATATCGTGTTGAGACTTTCAACAACAGTTATCCAAATCCTATCTTGAAGTGAAATTTGAATCCCTAATCAGGAGCGGACCGGAGGTGGCCTAGGGGGGCACGTGCCCCCTAGATTTTGAAGTTTTATTTATTATTTTTTAATATGAAACAAAAAAGAATGAAATTCAAACTCTCATCCTCACTTCTCCTCTACTCTCCTCTCTCCCGTCGCCGTCTGAGTCTCCTGCAAAGCACTCTCCGCCCATTCTGAGTCCTCTCTCCCACGGCACTCTCCCACACCACACCCACCGACACACGGCCACTGGCCACACCCACAGAAATTGGCTGAGGCAGAATCTCAACGCGAAGCCGTCGACCAGAAATTGGTCGACCTGGAAATTAGAATCTCAAACAAAAGTCGTCGACCAGATTGTGAGTTTTTTGTTTCTGATTAAGCATGACATGGATTATCAGTTCCCAACTACAACATTTTATCCTAAGCATTATTGCAGGTTCTTGCAGGGAAATGACTTTACCGGATCAGTAATATTCTTGGCCAATCTCCCACTATCTGACTTGTATGTTTTCTCCAGAAATTTAAAACTTAGTCCAAACCTTCTGTTTTTGTTTCTGTACTCGTTATGTTCACTTTCAAGAATATTGAAGATAACCATTTCGGTGGTCTTATTCCAGAAAAGTTTTAAGATATACACAACTTGTGGTAAGCTATTTTCTAAGCAGATTCTATAAATTAATTGTGTTTCTTATTGATGTAAATTTATTGAGTTTCTTATTGAGTTTCACATGAATAACAGCAAGTTAATTGTGTTTTCTGATATAGGGAATTTAGGGATTTTTGGAAATTAATAGTTAGAGATTTCCAATTAGGACTTTTAGGGATTTGGATGAGACTTCATTTATTGAGAAGGCAATTTTGATTTAGGGACTTCTAATGTTATTGATTTTTTTTTTTTTTTTTTGTATTAGTTATGGACAAATACNAAATTTTTCTCTATTTCTCACTTTAATTATGGAACGTTATCAAAATATAAGAACACGTAGAGAACAATTGTAATAAAATATCTCTTATTTTAATTTTTTTCGTCACTTTATGTAAGTTTGATTGTGCCCCCAACATAAAAAGTATGCGTCCGCCCCTGTCCCTAATGTTATATCTGTCTAGACAAGTTCATTTGCCAATATGCAAGTGCCTATGCTGTCAAGAGATACCAGCTGCCATTGAATCGATGCAACGGAATTGATGATCGATTTCGAAGAGTAGAAACAGATATCCACTCACTAATTTTTATCATGCCATTATTGAAAATGAAATGCCAATAACATTTTCTTTGCAGCCTCAATATAAACAAGTTCCTGAAATGGACGCAAGAATGGAACTAGAACTCCCAAGAAATGCATTCAAGTGGTAAAATCCACCGGTTCATACACAATATCATAAACAGAACTGAAGGCATTAGAAACAAAGTATTTTTACCAATAACAAGGAGAATTAGTTCTTGGACAACCAAACTACATCAAGTACTGCTGTCAAGGCTAGCAAGAAGAAGCTGAAAAACGTGAAGGCTATGGATACAGCCACTCGATTGCAGAAAATACGCAATGGTTTACAAAAATTTGGCAGAGAAGAATGTTGGATCCCTGTACGGTTCAGGTTCGTGACGCCAGATGCAGCTGATCCAGCACTCATCATAGCATATGCAAATATCTGCCAAAACATAAAAGAGGAAAAAGAAAATAAATGGGTAATAGACAAGGCAGATAAAGTTGATTTAAGACTTCAATCAACTAGAGATCTGGTATACAAACTAGATCCTCGAAAAGACTTTCTCATATTGTAAATATACCTACGAACTTCTACGTCTTAAGTGAGGCCTAATAAAAGATTTATCGTCAAAATTCCTACCTTATTCACAAATTTAATACTTGTGCTAGTCGTGTACCAAAAGTGCACTAAATTTTTTTTTTTGATAACCGTGGATATCCGGGCCAGTTTGCGCGCACCTCAACTAATTCCACGGGGCCCTGAAATTTACGGCCGGGTACTCACCTCAGTGGCCCTGAGGAGACTCAAACTGGTGACCATTGGGGAGCAAACCCAAAGCCTGACCAATTGAGCCACCCCTCAGGGTTCAAAAGTGCACTAAATTTTAACAAGAATGAAGGTCGAGCAATCGCGTCATATCAATACAAGTATACGACTGTGCACACAGAAGGGCCATTGCAGCCCAGTCTTAGCAAAACTCGATTAGATGCCGGTTTCTCAACCAAAATAGATAACTAAAAGACAAAAAGATGACATTCGCTATTTGATATTGTATTTGTCATCCTGTAAATGCCCAGAAGTGACTAAACATAAGAAAGACAGAAAGATGACATTTGTTATCTAGGGGTTGTTTGAGCCCCATTTTTTTGAAAATTTATTTTTTCAAAACTCGTTTTCAACCACACATTCTTCAATAAAATAATATTACACATAAATTGAAAACTTTTTCTTAATTTTTAACCACACAATCTCCAAAAATCACCATTCAAAAATACATTTTTTTTCTCGTAATGGAGCTCAAACAATGGCCTAATACTGTATTTGTCATCACTCATAGATGCACTGAAGTGAAGGATGCAATGTCCAGACTATTTCCAAGCCATGCACACGATGAGCATTCTTTGACACCATATAGAAGTTTTGAAGTAGATATCTATGAGAAGCGTGTTAAAGGCTGACAGTTGACCGTAAATTAAGGTAAGTTCAGATTTTCTAGTTATCCATCTTACAATTTTTTTTGTGTCTAAACCAGGAAAAGAAACCCGGTATCCCCTTCACATGAGTCAATTGTTTTAATAACATGTTACAATAACAAATATGGATCTTTCTAACACTGTCTACATCCTTTTTTGCCATTTTTTCTTCTGTGAATTGTTAATTCATTATGTAGAGCTCTCGACCAAATGGACAGTTCAATGTGCTCAACCGCGCCTGACCCTAAAATGTGGATCATCCAAGGCACATTAGCATTGTTGTACTCCTGATCTAAATGGAGGTTCTTATTGGAAAGAAGGTCGCTTAGGCTAGACATGAGTTTGGCGTACCATCAGTTGATATAATTATTCTTATTGGACCATACTCGGGAAAAACTATTCCACATCAGGGAGGGAAAGACTTAAAGCATGCTAAGCCCCTTCTTTCCTTTCAGCCTCAACCCACCACCTCATTTGTCGACTCTATGTAGCATTCCTACTTCCGATTTTAGACTTTCAGACAACTCAGGTATCGTTGAATGCCAAAAAATTTTAAAGTTTCTGTCATAGATATTCAAAGGTTTCGCAAATCATATTCCCAATACAGCAAAAGCACTATAAGAAAGCTAATTATTAGTCGCCTAACTTTATTTCTCCATCTATCCAAACTTTTTCATTCTATCTTAACCACCATAGAATCTGCAATCAATTCAAAGTGCTATCACACAACAAAAGAAGAATTATCAATAACGACGTAGAAGATATATTTAGTATTTACACTTTGTCGCACATGTATATATATATTTGGCCAATTACCTGATCCGCAGCAAAAACGAGCCATGCGTGATTTCTCGAAGGAATCACAAGAGATTTTCGCAGTATCCTCGACGTGTTAATGAGTAGTTGAAGCAACGAATAAACGGCTACAGCTGCTGAAACTCCTACTAAGTACCTGATCAGCACAAATTCACATTACTCAACCACTCTTTATTCATTCAAATCACATTTTACCAATTTTCTTGTTCATTGAATCAAACAATATAATCTACACCTCATAACCATTATAATTATGCAGCCCACAAATTTTCCTTTTTATTTTTGTTTGGGGGCATTATAGTCACCTAAAAAAACATGATGTCTAAGTACTATGATGTCCAAAACCAAAAGTTGATTCACGGGTTCTTGTTTTGTTCCATTTCTAACACAATCCCTTAAATTAGGGAGAACAAAAAGTTGATCCACGGGTTCTTGTTTTGTTCCTTTTCTAACACAATCCCTTAAATTAGGGAAATACAGTGTGTTCGACTGTGAATCTATTCGACTATTTTGCTATTAAAAAACAAAACGAAGGGCAATATAGTAATTTCAAACGTGCTTACTCAAAAGAATCAGAGAAGGACCACTTGGAGAACACAGGGATGCTAAAGCCATAGAGAGAAATGGTAGAAGCTTGTTTGGCAGTGACCATTACGGAGACAGATGTGACACATGTTAAAAGACAGAGCAGTCTTAAAACGACATGCATGACCTCACTTTTCCGGTGAACAATTCTCTGACGATCTGGGGTCGGACCGTTCATTATGCTTTCCTCAGCCACTGTCACCTTTGTCTCCGGCAGCTGAATGCCCACTTCCGGCAGCCCAGTCTTTTGTTCATTAGTCATCTTCTTTTCTTGTTTTTTTTCTGCTCAGGATTTGAGAGGTCTGCTGAGAGTCGAGGGGTCGTTTTAAAATGAAGTGGGGGTATGGAGACACGTGTCGGAGAAATAGGTGGGGTCTGGGGCTACGCCATGACGCAAACATTTGTTTCTTCGGTGGGAATTTGCACCGTTTCTTATTCCAAGGTAGACATTAAAAAATGGCAATTAATTTGGGGTCTGGGGCTACGCCATGACTCGAACATTTGTTTCTTCGTTGGGAATTTGCACCGTTTCTTATTCCAAAGTAGACATTAAAAAATGGAAATTAATTGTAATTTATAATGGTAATTAATGTTACTAATTGCTAATTTATTATTTAAAATAAATATTAAAAACTTGTTTTGTAATGGAGTGTGTTGTAGATGAATAATTTAATGAGTACCGATACTAATCTTATTCTAAACATCTGTGACATGACATATTAATTCATCTTTTTATAAATTAATTTATAGCAAGTTTCAACATTTGAGTTAAATTTGTTATTCACCAATGAATTAATATAACTTGTCAATCGGTACTTAGAATAAGATAATTATCGGTTCCCTTAGATCATTTTTACTGCATAGGAGTTATTATTTGTGAATTTTAGATTTTTTATTTTTATTTTTTGAAACTGTGATTTTATGTTAAAATGTTGTAACTGACGTCCATTTGTGTCTGGTCAACTTCTTGAAACATGAGTTGGTTGGCCTACCAATGCTACCACTTTAATCAAATAATTTCTGATGTAATCTATTTTGACTTGACCTCTTTTTCCCCGCGACATGGCATTGTGTATATAAATAATTGATATAAGCAACTATATATATTAATTAACAAGCATACTAAAATTTCATTATTTTAAGGTGTGTTTGATGTATATTATTGAAAAAAAAATGTATTTTAAATAGTAATATGATGGAAAATATGTGGTTAAAAAGTAAAAAAAATTATTTTATTGAAAAATATGTGATTAAAAATAAGTTATGAAATAATGTATTTTTAAAAAATGTGTCATGGGCTTAGATGAATGTTAAATAACATATTAAAAGAAAAATGAAAAACTGAACCGAAGGGAATAAATCATTGGGTAAGGTTTTTAATTTCTTATTTGGTGCGTTAAGCCCCTATTTGTTTCTCATTGTTTTAACTTAAAAATGAATTTTTTTACCCTTTTTTTAAAGCATTAGGGTCCACTACGAGAGAAAGATATCAAATATTGCGGCTCTTTTTACTGTAGCAACAGTAAAAAAATTTATTTTTAGTGGAAACAAA